AATTTTTTCTGTAATTCAAATTTTTCACTATGTCAATTGCTCAGCTTCTAAACATAACTCAAACTAATATTATAAAGCAATATTTTTCAAAAATTCAATGCTTACCAGAAGCTAACTGAGAAACAAAATTCAGTTCATTTTCGTCTGCTATCGACAACAGATTGCCAAAGCTCATATTTCGACAATACTGGTCAAAAGTCATCGATGATTCACGTTCTTTCTAAACGTAAAGATTTTGTTATAACTTATTAAATTGGTAAAAAAAGAAGCAAAAGTTACAAAGAAATTTCTTTTGATTTCATTTCTGAACTACTGTATCTGTTGCTTTGAAATCAGTAACTGTTATACTTGCTAATTAACAGTTCAGTTATTTAGCTGTTTACAACTGCTATTCACAGCAAATGTTTGCTTAAATAAGTAGATGAACTTTTGAAATTATACTGCAAAAAAAAAGAGGTGCATTGATAAACAGCAAAAAGCGACAAAGTTCAGTGTTATAGAAATTTTATTTTATTATCTAAATACCCCTGAAATATCCAACAGATAAAGGCAGTAATAGTGCTTTTCCGATTGACTAATTTTAGTATACAGTGCAGACAGAAGAAACTCTTCACCACTACATCGACCAAGCAATTCTGAAACCATTGTTCAGGCCAATAGATTATCTGAACAATCGCTGTCCTGTGTACATCTAAGTTTAACATTGAAAAAAATAGAAAAAAAAGTAAACAACTAATTAGTTAATAGTCATCTTTATGTATATTTATATTACAGTTTACTGCACTGATAAATGAAAGTTGAAAAAATATGGCTAACGGTATTCTCCAAAATCTTCAATAATATTTTGTCCACCAAAATTGTCACTTAGCGGTTTATCAGTAGCAACATTGCTAGCTTGTCTTTCGTCATAATCTTCATCGTAATAATCATCCGAAGCTGTCTAAATTATACTCAAAAAAGTTTTACATTTAATTCTCTGAGATAACTTGATTAGTTTTTGTGTTTGTGTGTGCAAATTCATACAATAAACTGATAATGATTTCAGCGTTAGAGAATAAATAGTTTTAATTACTTCTTATTTTTGCTACAAAACTTTTTGTCTAAGTTTTAAAGTTTTTTAACTGTTACACAGTTTGCTAAATATTTTTTATTTCAAAGTGTCGTTAACACTAAATTTTTTAACGGTAAAATAACTGCAAAAAAAAAAAAAAAAA